TGCAGCCCCAGCAAAAAAAACTGAGCCAGTCCCAACAGTATTAGAGAAAAAAACTGAGCATAAACTCAAGAGGGAAGACCCACTAGCTAGGAAGGACAGAGAAGATTATGCCAAAATGGTGGCTCAGGAAAAAGTGAAGCAAAAGTCACCAAAACACAAGACATGGCGCTCCTCCGCCCTAAAGCGAGAGCAATAGATGCATGCAACTGAACCCACAGGAAAACTGATCCCCACTTTAAGGAATGATGCATCCAGTGACAGCAGCGATGGAGAGGAAAGTCCACCAGGCTACACAAGAAGAGCAGTACAGGGGCACTCTACACTGAATCTAGCAGACAAGCCCGAGGAAGAGAGAGAAAGGCACAAGAAAAAAGAGATGCCAAGTTTGGTGAATCCCTCCAACTTAGCAGAACAAACAGCACATCCATGCCGGAGTTAATGGAGAGACAATCAGATGAAGGGCCAGGCCTATTTGAAAAGGAGGAAGATGAAATTATGAGTGCTTATGAGCGGGATGGGGAGTATCTGAGGGACGAAGAGGAAGAAGAGAAAAGGACAGGGGCTCGAGTGAGAAAAGCCGCTGATAGATATGGTGAGTATATAATGAGGTCTGTGAAGGATTCTAAATCAAAAGGAAATGAAAATAAAGGGAGGCCAGGAGTAGCATCCCAATTTCCCCTGGTGATCAAAGGAAACCAAGAACATCACGTGCCATGGTCTTTTCTAGACATGGAAGGGTTAATAGACCGGTTGTCAAATCTCACAGCAGGAGCAGGAAAATGGATTACAGCTCTGGAAGAGCATACAGGGGGGCACCGACTCACAATAGGAGATATAAAAGCCTTACTGATGCACATTGTGGGAAAACACATAACAGACAAGATGCTTGCTGGAGTGGGTATGCAACAAGCAACATTAGGAGAAGCAGCTGACCCCATAGGTTTCGATGGGTTCAGAAATATCGTGTGGGAGGAGCTCCGGCGAAGATATCCAGATGAGCGGGATCCTTAAAAACTCGAGGGAGTAGAACTAAAGGAGGGGGAGAATGTGCAGAATTTCCTGCATGCATTTCAGCGCAGATGGAGAGAGGAGACAGGATCCCATTGCAGGCCTCGAACTACAAGTGATAAGGGGCATGGCAAAAGTTGCCGTGGTCCATGCTGAAAATATAAGGGCACTACGGCAAATGTGCCTCCATATAAGGGGCACCACAGCAAAGTCACCATCACTTTAGCTAATAAAAAGTAAAGGTCCGTAGTGTCAGATGTTCCTCACATAAAGTGACCAATCAGCGTGCGCTATGCAAATCAAAACCATTCTTGAAAGAAAACGTTTCCGGTATTTTTCCCCGCTTGCCGTCTTGGAAATTTGCTCAGTATTGCATTGGGACATCGTTTGGGCATTGCTATAATGCAAGCACAAGCAAAGGACATTCCAAAGGACATTCCAATCGAACGCCGGGTCGTTGAAAAAATAATCAAATTTAGCCATTTTGTCCTCTTCTGCCACCCGCGAAATTCTGACTTTCTCCTGTCATTCCAACACTCACACTGACAACAGCATTAGATACTGGCAATAAAGACCACTTCCCAAGCTTTAGCAACACAACACGCAACCTAAGAGAATTTCAGTACCTCCATAACTTCGTCAATTTGCCGCGCTTTACGGCTGCCAACTGTAATTCGGCATTTTTTTGTTCCTTTCACCTGTCGGCATCGTGATCGGAGTTAAAAATAGGGGAGATACATAAATTATTCAAGAATAATTCTGCGCCGACGATTGCAAGAAAAGGGCGAAAAAGACCGCTGTAAAAACCACCGGCGGTTTGTCGGCCGTAATAAAGGGAAGCCAAAACCTCGCCCTTCAAAGCATAATGACTTAAATCTTTCGCAGTTTACTTTCCTTGATCAGCAGTTGCTCATACGAATTGTTAGAAGGTCAGTCAATTAAGTCAAATTTATTTTCGACAGTATTGTTATTCATTTCACCACGAAATTATGAGGGGTTTTCTTCCACACATAAATTATGACATGAATTACCATAGGCCTACGTCTTTATAAATTCCGCGCTCAAGTATCTCATGAAATGGCATAGATTCGCAAATTGATTAGTGAGGCTCATGAAGCAATAAGCTGTGCAACATCGCATTCTTTACTTCTACATTAAGATTGTAGAAAACGGATTCTCGTGGCTTCTTGCGAAAGAAGCCTCGCAAACTAATTTATAAAGACGTATTGATAATTTGCGTCGTCATTTGCTGTCGAAAATAAATTTGACTGTCCTTCTACCAATTCGTATGAGCAACTGCCAATCAAGAAAAGTAAACTGCGAAATGTTTAAGTCATTAAGCTTTGAAGGGCGAGGTTTTAGCTTCCCTTTGTTATGGCCGACGAACCGCCACTGGTAAAAACGGGAAATGCTGTGTGATTTATTTATTTTGGGTAGGTGATTTGGCCGAGGGGCACTTACGGCAATGCGGGGAAAGGGCACGGCATTCTACTGCCGTGAAATGGCGCTTTTATAGGTGGGCAGTACGGCAAACAGGTATTGCCGTCGATGCCATCTTGAAATTCGAGCCCTGTCATTGGAATGATAATGCCACCATTCAGAATTTATTCAAACTAATGGTCAAAAAGAGTCTACCACAGGCAGTTCAAAAAAAGTTGGACGGAGTGGTGGGGCTGATGAAATTGGATTGGATGCTATTTGTGAAGCATATAGTCCACCATGTGGAACAATATCGGAAAGAGAAGCAAGAAGCAGAAGAACAGAACAAGCAGTTGGCAAACAAATTAACACAACTTCAGGTGGGGGAATTAAGTAAAGTCAAGAAGGACAAAGCTAAAACACAAGCACCAGTGACAGTAGTCGAGCAAACCCCGTCAAATCCAGCAATTGTAGCCCTGGTAATAACCACAGCAACCATACCCGAACAAAATGCCCCAAAATCAGTACCAACTCCAGTTGAGTTACACACAGGAGCCCCAGTAATAACACTAACCCCACAAGCACCACCAGTGCAGGTGTTTATCAATCAGGCTGGGGGAAGGTATCAACCCAACAGAAGAGAAGAACAACGAAGAGGAAGGGGAGGGCTGAGAGGAAGAGCATCCCTGCGAGGAAGAGGACCAACCTTACGATGTTGGGGGTGCTCTCAATATGGACACCAAAGGAGAGACTGTCCAACTAATCCCTGGCTCACACCACCACCACCACCACCACCCTTGTGTATTGGGCCAGCAGGAAACTTCCAAGCGTAGGGGTGCCTGGAGAAGCCAGAGGGGGAAGCAATGTTGCCCATAGCTTCAGTGCAACCACAAGATGAACCCACCATACCCGTAATTATAGATCAACAAGAACATCAGTTTATGGTTGACACCGATGCCACATATTCATGTATAGGGAAAACCGGCTCAAATCTCCCCCTTTCTAACACCTCTATTAAAACCATAAGCTTCTCTGGGAGACCACAAATAATCCCACTAACACAGCCGGTCCCAATGCGCATCGCAGATAGAACCATAGTTGCACCAATTTTATATTCAGCTCACACCCCTGTTAACTTGTTAGGTAGAGACATTCTCTGCTCGTTAGGAGCCAACATTGTATGCTCACAAGATGGCGTCTACATAGATATTCCAAAGGAGATGCAAGGAAAAATGATGTCCCTGTCACCATCAGAGATGGGAACTCTACAGCCCATGGTGTATTGGTTACAGTTAACCTCTCAGGATTCAGTGTACCCTTCCCTGTACCAGCATTGGAAAGATTGGGAACCATGGGCGTGAGCTCACTTTGGGAAAACTACCAAAACAAAATTACCATTACACTGCACCCTCATGTTTGATGAACAACAAACATTTGAAGACTATGAGTCATGCTGGGACGATGCAATCAATAAGAGCCATTTTCTCATTGAAAGCTATGACATCTATATTGGTCCACAAGGGGCAGCATCTGCAGTAGTGTTACCACCACCCTTACAGGAATGGTTTCAAGTCCAACAGTCGACCCCACATGTGACGCTACTGGTGGCTGATGGTTGGGAGTCACACGAATTAGGACCAATGGTTAAGGCAGCGTTACAAGTGCAGGAGTGGACACCCACCACCAATAAGTATATTCACATTTCTCCAGACAAACAATTCACCAGGATATCTTTCAAAGCACCCTGCAAAAAATGTTCTACAGGACTTCTATGGAATTCTATAGAATTCTATAGAACATCAATGGAACTCTATAGAACATTTTAGTAGAACAGCATGTTCTATAGGATTTTCCGTGTGTTCTATAGGAATTTGCTAGAAACCTATAGAGCACCTCTATGGAAAAAAAGTCCTATAAGATTATTGCTGTTCTATAAGACCTTCCTATAGAACACCCTAGCTGAAAAACCTGTTCTATAGGACTTTGATGGTCTTTAGGACCTTCTAATAGAAAAAAAAAAAAGCTTAATGGGAAAGACATCTTAAATAAGGGTAAAATAAAAATAAATCTTATGAATCCTTGCAATGCTCTGTCGAAGGGTCAATTTACCTTATGTGTACCTGGGTTCTAGAAGTGAGAAACCGGACTAATGGTATGAAAATGTGCAATATGCAGTGATATCCACGATACAGAAGTAGCATGGAAATTGTGTCCCTTTTAACTTTTAGGTTTGTTTAAGCACATGGGGTACCAAGCACATACCTACTCATTGATTCTCTGATCAGATGATTGATTGACTGACTGACCACACAACTTAGCGGTATTTCAGTTACGGTATATGAAGACCTCTTTCCATTTCCTTGGCAACAATTCAAAAATATAAATGTTAGGCATTACAACTTTATTATGCTATAATGGAAAACTGGTGTTCCTCTTTTGCTTATGAAGACAGAATTACGTTGAAATTTTGACCTTTTGAACTTTTCCCTTAATTTTAAAAATTCAATCAAATTATGCCTTTCCATTCACATGCATCACATGTAAGGTTATTTCTAACCATGAATATACAAACTTCTGAATGGCTCACTTGGTGAAAGCACTGCATTGCGGAGCAGAAGTGTCTGGGTTCGAGCCCCAGTCAGAGTAGTACACGAGTGGTCAGAGTGCTACTGAGATGCAAGTTGGGAAACGATTGCTGGGAAATGTCATTTAAAATGGATGCTTTGTTTGTGGTTGCCTTCAAAATTTGGGTTGGATTTAAGATGCCAAACTTAAAAAAAGTCCTCCAGAGATTTTCTATGGAACTATTTTCTATAGAACTTTTTTTCTATAGGACTTGAGGTACTAAAGTTTTATAGAATTCTATTGGATTCCTATAGCACATTTATAGGAATTGCTATAGCACATTTTTTGCAGGGACATGATGATGGGCTGGCTGAAAAAGTGATGCTGGAAGAAAGACCATCCACGCAGATGCCTCTCATGCCAGAACAGGAAGTTTTACTGCAGCAAGTGTCAAATGAAGTATGGTCTAAACATAAAACAGACATAGATTGCATTAAATCCACCAAACCCAGTGCGTGTTTCTATAAAACAAGGAATCAGTCTGCCATATCAGAGACAATACCCCCTCAGACAACAAGCAATAAATGGGATTAAGCCAACAATTGATGGCTTATTGAAGGCAGGAGTGCTAATAAAAACTAGTAGCCCCTGCAACACTCCAATTTTTCCAATTAACAAGAGGCCCATGGGCCTTAACGGTCACCTGAGTTGTATGAAAACTGATGTTATTGATGTGAATGAACCAAATAAACCATCATTTTCCTATATAAAGTATAGTTAACTTCACCCCCTCCCCAAGGGCAAACATGAAGCCTGGGGGCCATGAAATGAACATTTTTGATAAAGCACCTGAAGACCCTTCCATCTGTGAAGAGTATTGTTTCCAGCATGTGGGTCTGGAGAAGAAGAGTTTGAAAATGTCAGCCAATTTGACAACTTTAGCCCCGCCCTCAGAGCACCTGGGGGTGGGCACCATATCTCACAATTTTGTTGCATAATTGACCAAGGAAGGTTCCAGCAAAATTTTATTGAAATCGGATCAGCGGTTTCTGAGAAGAAGTGGAAAATGTATTGAGCAGTTTTAGCCCCGCCCCTCAGAGCCCCTGGGGGTGAGCACCATATAATTCATAATTTTGGTGCATATTTGACCAAGGAAGGTTCCTGCAAAATTTAATTGAAATCGGATCAGCGGTTTCTGACAAGAAGTTGAAAATGTATTGAGCAGTTTTAGCCCCGCCCCTCAGAGCCCCTGGGGATGGGCACCATATAATTCACAATTTTGGTGCATATTTGACCAAGGAAGGTTCCTGCAAAATTTTATTGAAATCGGATCAGCAGTTTCTGAGAAGAAGTCGAAAATGTTTACGGACGCATGACGGACGACGCCGACCGGACGACAACGGACCAAAAGGCGATTAGAATAGGTCACTTTGAGACTTCGTCTCAGGTGACCTAAAAAGCCACATTCAGATGATTATCGTTTAGTACATGATTTGCAAGCAATAAATGCTATTGTTGAAGCCGAAATGCCAGTAGTTCGCGATCCACACACTCTTCTCTCTAACATTCTGTTATGATTCTGCTGTCTGTCTTGATTCTGCCATGTTTATTATGTTTCTGTCTTCCCTGTTATGTTTATGATCAGTTCTGTTAGGTTTTGCCATGTTCTGTTTTAGTTTTTGTACTTTGCCATGTTTTCGTTTTTGCCATTCCCAATCCACTATTCTGTTAGATTCCGGTCCATGTCTTTGTTCATGCCCTTCATTGCACTTTGTCTCCCCTGTCTGGTCTTTTGTTAAGCTACAGCTTCTCCCCAGTCCTGCGTGTCACATGCTTAGGTGATTTCATGGTTTCTGGGTTTCAAACATTCCTTCCAATCTCGTTTGCTTCCTTCGCCTCTCTTTTCTGTTCTACTAACCAATACTAACAGTTTGTTGTTTTGTTAAAATTACTAACCCAGAC